ATGCACATGTCATGTTGCCTGTTTATAACTTCACTTCTATTTATGCTCCTTTTTATCTCCCACCACAACCGCATATAGTAAGTGGGGTCAGAATAGAGTAGAACAGAACATAACAACCTCCAAAACTCATATATAACCTGTGAAGCCATAACTTCTCCCACATCTAATAAGTTTGATGGAGTTAGAACAGAACATGTAAGCCTTTGCATTATTTCAGAGAGTGCACTTGTAACATTTTAGAGTTCAGAACTTCTCCAATGCTATACTATGAATTATGCAATTTAAATGCAACCGCGGACAATTATAACTTTAAACATGAACATAATAATAAATGAGCTATCAGAATTAGTAAAGTAGGGTATTATTACATGCGTAGAATCTTCCATAACCTTTCCTTTTCAATTATAATTTCAAAAGAACATTCAACGTAGTATTTTAAATTTTTTGGAGAACTATCATTATTCACAAAAATGCCTCATTTATTCGATATATATTAAAATCATCATAAAAAAAAATCAACTTTTGATAGTAAAAATATTCAGATTAAAGCAGGCTATAATATGCAAAAAAGTTACATTGTGAAGACACCGTAAAACCCAAGAAAATGCACGTTTTTATCAATATCTTATTACAAAATCATTGGAATTGAAATTATAGATATTTGTTTAGAAGTTTACCTCGTGTTTGACGATTTCCCTAATTGGCCTGTTGCACAAATTCGGTTCCTTAGCTTTCAATTTTCCCTCTCCTCTTTTCTTCTCATCTTTCTCTCTCCTGTTCTCTTTTGTCCTCTTCGACCATTGATGGATGTGGTACTTGGTGGGTTTACTATTTTTAGGAAAAAATTTAGAAATTTTCTCTCTCTCTTTATATATATATATATATATATATATATATATATATAATAAGCTATAAAATAAATTTTTTGGGTATTTAAATTTTTTAGTAAAACTCTTTTCTGTATTTTAATGTATAGCATACATGCTTCTGAACATAAAATTATGAGGAAATTATAGATTAAGCATTTTTGCAAACATTTTTTAATAATATAAGCATTTATTTTATAAATGTTTTTTTTTTATATTTTATAAAAATCTAATAAATAAAAAAAATTCATCCTTCTGAAATTCAGGATATCTATAGGGTCTTTTGCACCTAGTATTGAACACCCAAAATGATTTTTGTACACAGGGCAGTCAATCTCCTACCTAAAGCCTAGGCACCGCTAGCTCCTTTCCCCTTTCCGCAATACATCAATTAGTGAGTTAAATGCTCAATGAAATACACAATCTTAATATATGAACAAGAAGCAATTAACATGTATGCTGATAGGTCAAATTAATATAAGAGTAATAAGTTATACACATGCATAAAAATAAATAAATAAATTGTATATCATTATAGTAAATGATCAATGCATAAAATTGTGCAATTGATTTTGTGATTGACATATCTTATAAATATGAAGAAAATTTGAAGCACTCTATCGAACGACTAGTGTTGATCCCCTCGGTCATAGATAGTTATTTAAGTATTTGAGTGTCTTAATTATGTTAGAATCAAGTGATCGTGAACTCGTTGGAATTGGGAAAGATCAGGTTCGATTTACTGAGGGAAGAGAGTAGCCATCCGAGGTACTCATTGGAAGAGCACGGATTGTTGTATTAAGGGAGGTTTGTGATGCCCCAGATATCAGTGCACATTCCACACTTACTCTAGGAGTTCCATGGGAGCGTTGTTGGGGGTCACTTAGAGGTGCAGAAGATATATAAAAGGCTAGCTTCAGAGCTATACTGGAAGGATTTGCATAAGGATGTAGAGGAGATGTCAGCCAAATGTGAGTTATGCTAGAAAAATAAGTATTTGTCCATGTCTCTAGGAGAATTACTGTAGCCGTTGGCTTTACCCTAGGTCGTATATGGGAGGAGATCTCCATGGATTTCATAAAGGGCTTCCCCGATCAGAAGGGCTCACAGTGATCTTGGTGGTAGTAGATCGCTTGAGAAAGTATGCCCATTTAATTACCCTATGCCATCCATATACTACAGTGACAGTGACATCAATGTTCATCAAAGAAGTGGTCAGGCTGCATGGAGTACCAGAGGCTATAATATTTGATAGAGATAAGGTGTTCCTCAGCTACTTTTAGAGGGAGTTATTCAGACTACAGGGAATAGTATTGAAGAGGAGCACCACCTATTACCTACAAATAGATGGCCAAGTTATGGGCCAAGTGACTAGCATGGGTGGAGTATTGGTACAACACTTATTATCATTCGACATCTCAGATAACACCCTTCAAGATGTTGTATGGAAGGGATCCACCTCACCTGGTGCACTTTGGGCATATCAGCACTCCAGTTTCATTAGTGGAGGAGTATTTGGAGGAGAGGGATAGAGTGTTGGAAGAATTAAAAAGGCATCTGTTGAGAGCTCAAAAGATTATGAAAAAACAAGCAGATGGACATAGGAAGGACATTCATTTTGAAGTAGGGGAGAAGATGTTCTTAAAGCTCGGACCATACAGGCAAAAAACTGTCGCCAATAGGAGAAATGAGAAGGTTGGCCCAATGTACTTTGGATCTTATAAGGTATAGGAAAAGATTGGAGCAGTGACATATCGGCTGAAACTACCACCAACGGCGACCATATATCTTGTGTGCCATGTATCCCAGTTGAGGAGAGCCATTGGAGATCATGCAGGTATTGGACCATACATCTTGGCCCAATGTACTTTGGATCTTATAATGTATAGGAAAAGATTGGAGCAGTGACATATCGGATGAAACTAACACCAACGGCGACCATACATCTTGTGTACCATGTATCCCAGCTGAGGAGAGCCATTGGAGATCATGCAGCAGGTTCTGAATTACCAGTAACATTAACCGAGGATTTGGAAGTGATGTTAGAACCCTTTGAGCAACAAGGGGTGCGTTAGAAGGCGGGAAAGGAAAAAAAGGAGTTGATCAAGTGGAAGGATCTTCTAGATTATGAGGTGACATGTGAGCCTTATGAGAGGGTGAAGCATCAGTTTCTCTCCTTTCACCTTGAGGATATGGTGATTCTTTGGGTGGGCGGTATTGTTAGGCCGGTTCAGGTGGAACCGGCCCTGGTTTGGCTAGTTTGGTTTTATAGGAGGCGAAATAATACCGCCTCTTCTATTGTTACCTCCCAAAGCAATGGGGCCCACAAATTGAATTGATCTAAAAAATGCAGGGGGGGTTGGAGGAAATTTTTGAATTATAAATTAATGTATTAAATAGGCATGAGAGGCTAGGGTTAGGGTTATGCTGATTATTGTATTCTCTTGGAGTTCTCTTATGTATTTTGGGCTCTAGACTCATCGTCTTGGGATTTGGAGAGAACGATCCTCCTCTCGAATTGAGGATCAATTGTATCTTGTTCTGATTCTTCTTTCCATTGGTTTGTTTCTTGCAATAGAACTACTATTTGGTGTGATTTTTCCTTATATTATTTGGAGTTTGTTCGCTAATTGTCTCTTTCAATAGAAAAACTTGAGATCTACAAGTATTTTCTATCAGCTGCTTTATTTGACCATAATCATGATATTTGGAGATCATATGATCATTAAATCAATGTATTGAATTTTTTAGTTATGGTTCAAGCCCTTGATGTGGGCTCATATTGGACCATTCTTGGCTTCGTTGGATTTATCTTGTCAAGATGTTTAGTGAGACTTAAGTTTGTTGAAGTAGGAGTTCAGACGATCCTATATTTAATTTTGAAATTTTCCAATTCAAATGTCTCGAGATTTATGTGCAATCAAGGCAGTTTTTTGTGATGTATCAATGTTATAAATAACTTACAAATAATGTTAAAATTATAATTTTTTTGTTTCTTTCACGTCAACATTTTTTATTTAGTGGAGTTGGATCCAAATTTACTCGTGGGTGATATCAGAACTTTAAAAGTAATTATGTACCAAAAAAGAGAGAGAGAGCTTAGAGAGAGAAGCTATGTGAATTGCCTGTCACTATTAGGAATTATGAAGTTGGGGATATCACTTAATGTCTTAGTCCTATCCTTTGACCCTATATATATTTGGGCTATGGTACCCGCATACCTCATTTTGGATTCTCTTGGTCAAGCAAAATTTGTGATAGAGATTAGCGGCAAAATTAGGCACATTTCCTGCTAAGACACATTATGACTTTAAGTAAGATCAAGCTGGTAAAAAATTTATTCGCCTAGATTGTGACAAAACTTAGAACTTTTTTATAATTTTTTAATAGATCCAACATAGCCATTCATAGGGAAGTGAATACAATCACATTCATTAAAATAAATTAGAGTTTCTAATTATCATCATAGATAATTAACATCCATGTATTTCCATTGGAATTCTTATTTATATTTGCTGTTTTATTTAGCCAACAATCTCCATGTCATACTATCTACTATCTGAGAATCCAGTTTCATCATTTTTTGGGATGATTTAACCAGATTGTTCATCATATTAAATATATAAGGTTGATCAGCTGATATAAAGAGCCCCTTTAAAAGTCTAGTTGTGCACATACAAAATATTAGCAATCCATACATTGATTTCAATCCATTTGAAAGTCTTGGCACTTGAAATCACAAATATCATCTCATTCAATCTGAACTGTATATTTGATGCATCTAATTGATGCTTAAACTATCCTAAAGTTTCTTCAAATCATGTGTTCAACTAGTTTAAATGATGGTAAAAGGAATTAAAAGTTTTTATCTAACATTTGAAGGTTCTAAAGTTAAATCAAAATGGGAGGAGAATGATGCTTCTCCTCTAAAGCGTAGAAATCTCTCTCTCTCTCTCTCATATTTATATATATTCTTTATATATATATATATATATATATATATATGTGTGTGTGTGTGTGTGTGATGTTGCCTGCTTTAATCATTATTTTTTGTGAGAATAGTTTCCAAATGGTAACAAAATTATCTACGTTGTTTGATAACCATATTTATTTGTGATCTGTTTTGGCCATTAGATGTTAAGATCTTTCAAGGTTGAGATGATTGTTCTCTCAGCAATTCCCAGCTTGGTTGAAACTTGGATGGCTGGATTTGGTTTCAATTGTATTGACGCTGAAGAGAAAAAACTTTTAGATGACATTAACTTGATGTTGTTTCCTGGAACAGTTCTGCTGAAAAAGAAACTATATGTTGCTTCAATAGAAACAGGTGGGCTCTTTCTTTGGCCTAATTTTCAGTATGGAGCTTTTTCTATTTTGATTTAGTATATTTGGTTGTTGGTTCATTTTCCATAAAGATCAAAATGACAAATTTACTAATAATGCAGGGGGAAATGATCAATTTTGTTCAACACAAGATGAATCTCATATTTTGGTGGGTTTTGATGGAAAGAAACATGTGGAAGCAAGTCAATGGCCTTCTGAAGATGGTGGATTCGAATTGGATCTATAATCCATTCTCTCAACTTCATCAAATCTTGAACAACAGGATCACTGTCTGCGCAAAAGTTTAATAATACCTTCCCGTAAACCCTATTCCAACAGCTAATTAAGGCTACGAGGCGGGCTGATTTTTCCCTTGCTACATACTGAAATATAGATGACTGATCCAGTTGGCTTCAGAAGTGAAACGTGGTTTTGCTGATATGCATCTGATATCAGGTCAATGACCCAGGAACATTTAACGCTTAAAATCTTCCTGAACTGCTTATCTGAAATCTTTTGATGATCCTTTACAAAGCCGTAGCATTCTCAATTAAATCAAGATTTCTTTTGCTAGTGTTGATGCTGTTATGATGTTTGAAGATGAAACCCTGAGGTAGTTTTATGTGCTTTTATTCCGTGAAAAGCTGCAATGAGCTGAGTGATATTTTGTGGGCGTAGAATTATAGTACTCTGATAGAAAAAAGGCTACGGTATCAGTTTTCCAAGAGTACGACATGAAAACCTTGATGCGATTATCTAAGTTGGAGTGAACTCTAGCGGTGGCCAGTTCTATTATGTTACTATAATTAACAAAAAGATTCCAGCAGATAAAAAAATTTCCGGAGGTATATTTGTGAAATTCTAATTATGCTTTAATGGAGGAGGTGCATTTCTCTTCTGTGGTTAAAAAAATCAGTTGATTAGTGATCAACCATCTGGGGTTTCCTGCATTGTCCATATGGAAATTTCCGAAGTAGTTGAACTATCGAAGCTTTCAAATAGTTGCTTCGAGACCTAATCTTACTATTTACTTTACAACGCTTGATCAAATAGAATGTTAATCTTCAGCTGCCGGAAATATTTGAGAACAAAAATCAATTCAGTGCCAGCTATCAACTTTAGCTTCTGACATTCACATGGTTCTGATGACTTCGTGATTCCATTAATTGTAGCAAATTCATTCAATTCTTTTGAAGGAAACTATATAGAGTGCATAACTGTTAATTTTGTTTTCCATCATTAAGGTAGCCTGTATAAGTTACTTTTCTGATAATGGCGTTCTGCGAATGTTTACTTGATTAAATTTTTGCACTGCTTTGTTTGGGTACTGCGGTGGCTGTTGATTGAAAACAATTTTTGTTTCGAACATTTTTTGTTCTTGTTTGTTTAATTTTCTTCAAGTTTCAAGGCAAAATAATAGGATTTTGACTTTAGCTACGTTTAGCAAAGTTTTGTTACACTACAACCCATTTCTCGTTGACATAGAACCCATCAATAGGTGCAGCAAACTTATCCTAGAATCTATCGTTGATAGAATCAAGATATCTCTATTATATGCATTAGTCAACAGCATTTTATATGGACAGTCTTTTTTATCATATGTGATTGTATTGTCTTTGTAAATCTGAAGATCAGAAGATTGCTACAGAAGTGCATGTTGAATGTGTGGTGCTCACTAATTCGACCCTAAAATAAAGTTGAAGATTAAAAGAATGAGATATTACTGGCCTTCGATGATAGATAATTACATGATTGTTTTGTGGCATTTTGAAAGTTGGAGTATAGATATCATTGGTTTGATCGATCCAATGTATTTCAAAGGTCATCGATTCATATTAGTGGCAATTGATTACTTCTCAATTTAGATTGAAGCTATCCCATTATGAGAAGTTGGAGCTTACCATTTTCTTTATTTCTTCATAGACCATATCTTATATTGATTTGGCATTTTTCATTGAATTATATCTGATAATGTGATCAATTTTTAATAAGCATTAAAATAAATAACTTTGCAAGACACTATAATACTAATTGGAGATATTCAAGTATCTATTACCCTTGAGTAAATAAATTGGTTGAGGCAATCAATAAAATATTAGCGCAAATAATAAAGAAGATATGAAACGATAATAAATGTCAATTTTATGAAATTTAGGAGAAGCTTCATGGGTATATTGATCTATATATATAGAACTCCAATTTAGTCTACAGCATTCGCTTTAGTCTTTAGGGCAGATTTTTAAGTACAACTTTTCTCTGTAAGTGTTGAAGTGAACTATGGTATAATATCTTAACAAAATGCCAAGAATTTAATTAGAAGACCTCGAAGGTTGAGAAGAAAAGCATTTGTTGGCTCAGTAGAATCTTCAACTCTATTAAACAAGCATGATTCAAGCACAAGATAAAATGGTTCGTCCTATAGTATTTCATGTAGGAGTCATCTTGGTTCTATGAAGACCCATGTTTGTCTAGCGAAAACCTATATGGAATTTGTGGTGGAGAAGGTCCACCAAGGAGGTTCATATCAGCTTGTTGAATGTAAAGGAGATCATGTTATGTTGCTTGTTAATTGACGATATCTTAAGAGGTATCATGTAAGATTGTCCGTCAGAATAAGATTTTTAATAAGATTTTTCATATCGAATTGAGTCCGAGTAAAAGAGGTTTAGTTTTGAAATTTTTAATATAATCAAAATTTTGAATTTGTTATGGTAACTTTCCTACTAAATTTGCCTCTCTTCAATTTCCTGCTTAAAATTATTTGCTTGTTCTTAAGGATAGATAAAAGTTTCAATCCTTATAAACTCTAGTTGGCTGGGTAATACCATTTCAAGTATTTTCTTAGTTTAACCATCTTACCTGCTTAAAATTGCTGCTTCTTATTAAGGATAGGCATAACTTTCCTCATTGACATCCTTTCCTTAAAACTTTGATTAACTAGGTAACAGCTTCCCAAGTACCTTCACCAATAAAACCATTTTGCGTACTAAGTTTTAAAATTGTCTTGTTCTTTAGGATAGGCAAAAGTTTCTCCCAATGACATCCTTTCCTTGAAACTTTGGTTGACTGAATAATATCATTTTAGTTATTTTCTTAATTTAAGCATTAATGTTGTTAAAATTGCTTACATATTCTCTAATATGGTTAAAGTCCTTTGTTTAGCACCCTGATTAACTAGTGTCAAATACTCTCCTAATTTAACAATCATTGCCTGCTTAAATATGCTTGTTTGTGATACCATCCTTTCAGGTACTTGTTTGCTTAAATTTGCCTACATGGGATGATACGCTTTCAAGTGCTTGCCTTCTTAAATCTGCCTATTTAGGATAATTCTCTTTTAGGTATTTTCCTGCTTAAATCAGCCTATTACTTGCTAAACTCAATGCCTGCTTAGTTTATTTCTTGCTAAATTCATTGCCTACCAAGGAGGATCAAAAGTAAAGTTTAAATAGTAGCGTCAAAATTGAGGTTCAAAACTAGCTTCAAACTTAGTTTTGAAACTTTTGAATATTTTCTTCACAATAGAGGTTTGAAATTATGTTTGAATCAGGTTTGAGATTTAGGATCAAACCTTTTTTTCATTAACTTATATATAATTGATTCAATTGATTTATATTATTATGTTTGTAAATGTCTATAATAATTATTCCTATTAAGAGGCATTACATTATTAGGATCACATATAGGGCTAGGATGATGAATAATCAAGTAGTTTGAAGCTTATGGCCTTTTTAGAGGGCCAATCAATCTTCCTTCAAGCAACATTTAATTTTACATAATTGTCATTTTTTGGAGAATTAACGCATCTACTTCTCTTAAAGAAGTAGGATGATATTAATTACTCCTAAAGCATAATATTTTGAATTAGATATTTTTATTACTACTCAAGCATATTAAGTGCAAATTATGTATTGTGTATTACATTATAATTTCAATAAAAATTATTATTTTAGCTATTTTTGCAAAGAAAATACTCATAAATTGTGAAAAATATAAAGTATAACATAGCGCCGTGGCACCAGATAAAACAACGCTACTGCTTTAAAATCAATTCTGCCAAAGTACCATTTTTATATATTACAATGTCATTTTCTCTGTTTGCGAGCACTGCAGTTGCATCACATGCAGTGCCGCTACGTTAAGAGCACCGCTGCATTAAACATTCAGCTTGGCAGCATCAGGTTCTCAGGAAAATAAATGTAGCAGTGCTATAATTACAATAGTATATTAACTACTAATGTAGACTATTGTACTCTAAAGAATTTATGGATGTTTTTAATATATCTCATTCTTCATTTAATGCATATAATGGTCATGTATATAGTTAAAATTTTGTGTGATGTATAGTCTCGACGGAAGAATTTAAGAATAATCAAAAGTATTGAGATAGAATGTTTGAATGCCTAGACATGTCATGTTTGAATATTCTAAGTTCTATAGAGATATTTAAAATATAGGGGGTCAATATATATCATTTTCACCCCTATAAGCTTGATAGAAATCTAGGGATGCACATGCTCTGATTATATCTAAAATTAAGAGTATCGTTAGAAAAAAAATGATATTTTTATGCATAAATCCAAACCATTTTATTAAAATTGTATCAACTAATTTATTCATTTTTATTCAGTGGTAGGATATCAAAAATAATACTTTTATTTCAGTAGGATAACTAATGAAATTTGAGTAAACAATAGTAGTTTTATTGTAAGAAAGCATAACTCTTTCACATGAGTTCGACACTCTACTTCATCTCTTTATTACTTGATTCGACACGTATATATATTTAAGTGCGCTTTAATTATTGACATATCAAAGAAAATATGATCATATTTAAATCTTGCATGTTACTGTTGACCTCGATTTTGCCCAGACCCGGGCCTAAAGAGTTGACTTGGTCAAATTGACCAAGCCAGACCCTATGGCCCTCCCCAATGGGTCCAGTGAGTCGAGTCGAGTCTGTTGAGCCTGGGCTTGGACCTTGAGTCAATCCAATTGACCAAGTCAACCAGAGTTGACCAATTTGGATCCTTTGAGCCTAAAATTAATTCCAAATTGATTTCATGGATTTCATGGCTCAACCCATTGACTCCTTTGACTCTCTTGACTGATTTGACCAAGTCAATTGTTGACTTGGTCAAACCGAGTCTTAAATAGGTTAAAACAACCTATTTAGAGCCCATTAATACCCAAATTAATGCCCAATTGATTCACAATCAATTTCAAATACAAACCACGGCCAAAACCGCCCCTTTTCCCTCCCAATTTGATCTAGATGCAATCCTAGCCGTTCCCCTTAGGTTTAGGAGTTTAAATAGGAGAAATTAGATATTTTTTTGGATCTTTTTCCTCTTGCTCGAGCTCTAGACCGTCTGAGGCCCTGAGACTTTGTGAGAGGACTCCCATACCCCTTCCCCACTTTTCTCGTTCGAAGCCCGACCGCCTCGAGCCGCCGGCGACGTCAACTCCGGTGAAACCGAACCCATTTCCGTTCCAGGACGAATCCCGGTCGATCTAGCGTGTTTTGGATCTCGACGTCAACTAAGAAGTTGTTCCTGCTGATCCCACGAGTTCAACGAGCCCAAGATCGCCCGAATCCATCGTGTGGATTGAGGTATATCGCAAACCCTAGTTTAGAACACTTAGGGTTACACAGTGTTACAGGTCCTAGGTCCCTTCTTTTCAGGGACCCTAAATCCTATTTATCCGCGTCACAGGATGACGCCACCTCCATCTCTTCTCTCACGCATGTGGTTGATTGCTTGTCTTTCTTTCTCCAGTTTCTCTCTAGTACCCTAGAGCCTCTGAATGCTGGTATGAGTCACGCATGTTGACTGAGCCTTTTTGAGAACTTTCTTTCCTTTGAGTAGGATTTCCTAATCTATACCCTTGTGCTAATCCCAATTTGGAAAAGATAATGTATGATCCTTAATCGAGAGTTTTCTCGGGCTCCGGCCCGGGATGTAATTAACCACGGGGGCTTGCGCCCGTGGGAAACTTAGTTCCCACAATCTACTAAACCCCATTCGAACTTTTTCGGGTGGGGGAAACCCGTGACTAGGTCGTGTATATTGCTACCCATCGGGGATGTGTTGGCGACAGCCTCTATCCCCAATGGTCAGTCGTATGCGCGATCCAATCTGCCCTCCCATCGACCTGTTCGTGTCGAGTGTAGAGGTATGCGATCGTATTGTCCCACAGGGATAGTGCGGCCGTACCCTTTGCGTTCGTACCCCACGAGCGGTGCTCCTTCGGAGGCCCACAGTTACATCTAGCTAAGCGTGGATAGAATCAATCTTGATAATCTATACAAGCCCCTCCATATCAAAGAATCAGATTGATATTTTGATTGATCAATACAATTTTAT